TGCCCACCCGATAAATATCGCCTCGAGAATCCAGCGCCGACAGGATGGTAAGTGTGCACAATCAAGACTAGGCCCCTCTCTTGAGGCGTCCGGACTGCCAACCTCCTGCCGACCCCCCCTCATCGATGCGGTCTTTGCTATACGCCTCCCCCCGCCGACGGGCAGGACCGCGGCCCATGCGCCGTTTCCAGAGGGCGAGGACGACGATGACGGTCAGCAGGATAAAAACCGGCGGCGGCGCCGACGCCGATGCCGATCTTGGTGAGCAGCGGCATGTCGGGGGAGGAGGTGGTGGATTGGATGCCGTTGGGGTTGGGGGAGGGGGAGGGGGGGTTGGTGCTGGTTTTGTCGGTGGAAGTGTCGGAGTCGAAGAGAGGATGTTGGGGTTGGGGTTGGCCTGGTCGTTGTCCGGATTGTTGTTGTTGTTGTTGGGTGTGCCGTTGTTGTTGTTGTTGTTGTTGTCCCCGCCGTCGATGACCGCTAGACGGCCGGTTGGGGAGGGCGGGATGAAGACGGACATGAAGGTCGTTCCGGAGGCTGTCACAAGTGTGGGGATGGGCTCGGGCGAGTCCGATTGCGGGTTTTGTTGTTGTCGGTCAGGGGTAGAGGACTGCACGGGTCGGGAAGGGTCTTGCGAGCTGGTTCGCGCCGGCGCGGGTGCTGCGATTTGAGATTCACTCGCCGGAGAAGAGGCACCCGGGTTAGATACCGGAATCACGGTTGGGTTCCCAGATGATTCCACTGGGGCTGCGACCGCAGTAGAAGTCGCTGGGACGGGCTGCTGCACCGCGCTGTGAATCCGCCGGAACAGGACAGGGGCAGGCTGTTGCTGCTGCTCATCCCCTGGCGGCGACTGATCCTCAGTCGGGGCCGGCGGTGCCTGCTCGGTTTCTTGTGCGGGCTCCTGGGTGGTGACCTTCTCGGTGGGTTCAGGAGCCGGCTCAGAGGTCGGCTCTGGTGCTGCGGTTTCCTCAGGCTCCTGGGTCGGCTCTGCTTGGGTTGGCTCTGCTTGAGTCGGTTCCGGGTCGGGAGCCGGCTCGTCGGTAACAGCCGGTGCATCCTGGTCTCCAGGCGCGGTCGTAACCGCTGCGGCATCATCGTCGCCGAGCAGACCGGTCGGTCCGACGATAGGGTCGAGGATCGGATCCAGGAGCCCCCCAGCTGCCCCGGCCAAGTTATCCGCCACACCGCCCACAATGCCGCCCGGCGAGCCCGTCTCCGCCGCACCCTGTTCCTCGACGGCCGAGGTCTCGGGCCCGTCTCCCCCCTCTCCCCCCCAAAAGTCCATCTAGATTCACAAGCTGGGCCGCCGCTAGGGCAGCCTGCAGCCAAAGAACGCGGATGACCAGCATCGTCGCGAACTTATACGAAGGAAAAAGAATCGAAAAGAATTAATAAAAAAAAGGCCGTTGCCAAGGTGTAAAAGGCCGTCAGGTTAATGACATCTTGGCCTGGTTGAGGGAAGAGAAGAGGGAGAGGGAAAGGCTCCGAATGGGAGGGAGGGCTCAAGGACGTAAATGGCTTTTACCGTCTGATCGACGAGGCATAATGGGCAGTGCCCAGGCAAAAAGACGTTGCGAGCCCATCGAGGATCTGGACTGGGAAGGGTTCCAGCTTTCCGGGACGTTGTCAGTTTCATAGCATCAACAAAGCAGGGATAGCCCGTCAGGGGCGGGCGCCTGTGCGGGAGGATCGTTCCCAAAGGGGCAACCGGGGGGTGCCAAGTGTGGTGTAACGTGGTGTAACAGCCCCCTGGGATCCGCAACGCCCCGGGACGGTCGGGTGCCATGGCCACAAGGCTTAGGCGATGATGTTTGACAGTTATGCATCGGGTGTTTGGAAACCGGAATCGCGGTTCCCTGGGTGTATATCTTCTTGCCACCCCCGTCATGACTCGATGGGGACTTTTGTGAACCCAACTTTTTGGCTTCCTTTTTTTTCAAGCGTGTTACGCTGGGTCTAGAACTCGGAAGAAAAATCCGATTCAGGTTCCCCTGAGCCCCCCCAAACCCCCTGATAAAGCCGAGTTCGGGCTCCGGCGCACTCGCAAACACACACAAACGCCACAGACGGCTTGATTATGTCGCAACTCCGTAAACTCCTACGACTGCGGTAACCATACTCGTCAAAAGGACCATGTTCTTACAACTGGGGAATGGAGGGGAGAGGTGATTAACTGTGGCTCTGTGCTGTATTTGTACAACACCGAAGTCCGACAGTGATGAGTGACTCAGGCCCACAACACAAGCAGCGACACGCCGGGCAGGGTGGTAAGATACCGGGCAAATCGGTTCTTTCATATTGCCACGACCGTACGGGACCGCACACTATTAAGATCCCAACATCCTCCAAAACCGAGGCGGGGATGTCCCTCGGCCAAATACATGATAGTTTTGCTATGCGCAATACATTTTGGCGACATAAGAATCTGGGCAGGAAAGAAAATGGGAGGGAAAAATTAAGAAGTGGAGGGGAAAAAATAAGCAGGAAGAAGTGAAGCAGGAAGAAAAGGTAGAAGACGAGAAAACACAGATGGTCTCTCCTTCATGTCATTGATTAACGCCACTTTGAAGTAAAATACCCAAGGGCCTTCGCTGCCGCCCCGCGAACGTATGTGTCCCACTCACCCCGGGGTTGGTTCACGGGACCCGCAGCATCCCCCCTGGGAGCTGTGACTTGACCCGTCGTCGCCGGGCTCGGCACTGCCGGCGACGAGGACGGCTTGTCCGGCTGGCCCCGGACACTCCTCGGGCGGTTACGCGGCCGTTCCTTTCGGCCCCAGTGCTGACCAGCCGAGACATTGCAGGACTTCTCTCTGAAGACAGCGTCTGCTGCCATCTCGTTGACTTGGACAATCTTTTGCAGGTCTTTGCCGAAGTGAGGTAGACCATAAAGACTGTCCACGAGCTGACGCGCTCCTTGGTCGTCGAGAACGATGTCGATGTCGCCGCGCGCCATGGCCCGAGTCAGAGCTTCCACTTTCTGCAGGTGCTCGGCCTTGTATTTCTCCAGGATGCTGAGCGTCTGTTTCTTCCCGCCGCTTTTGACCTTGAGCTTCTCTTGTTGGATGAGGTGGTCGACGTATTCTATCGTGGCGTCATTGTATGGTTCGATCGCGTGGCGCTTCAGAAAGAAACCAAACTGAATGGCGGCTTCTTGAACCTGCGCATGTTCGACCTTGAATTCCGCGATGGCCGTCTCCCTGAGCCGGATAGCCTCTTGCTGGAGCTCAATGTCTGAGGCGTGCTTGATTAGCTCTTTGCTCACATCTTTATTTTCATGCCGGTAAGTCAGGGGTCGGTAATCATAGTAGATGTGCATGTGATCCAAGTAGTTGTGGCTGCACCCCGAACAAAACCCATTGCTATACATGGCTTGACAGTCCTTGAGTTTCGGGTCCCCCTTCTGGTTACGCTTCACTTGACCGCCGAGGTAGCATGGCCTATGGCACATCGTTTTGTAAACGACGACTGTCTCATCGCGGCCAGCAAAGTCGTTCCGGACCTCAACGCAATCTCCATGCGTGCAAACCGTGCGGGGGTCGCCCACCTCGTACGACTCAACCGTCTCCCGCTGAACGTAGAGGCTCTTCTCGAGTTGGCTGCGGGAGAGCTCTGCATTGTTCAACATTCTGACCTGGTCATTGTTGACTGCGATGCTGGTTTGGATCTTCTGGGCAATCAAGGCCATCGGCTCCGTCAATTTAACAATCATGTCGCGGGTCTCGTTCAGGTTGATGGTGCTTCGGACCTGGTGAGGAGTGAGGCCTCGGATGTGCTTCAAGAGACGTTTGGACTCGGACACGGAGCGGCTCCAACTGCGCGTGTTGTCTTCCACAAGGCCCATGTCGATACCCTTCTGACGGGCAGCGAGATACCGAAAGCTCTCCGAGTCGAAGCAGTAGACGTTGTGCTCGAACAGTCCCATCTGTACTTGCTTGTATTCCGCCAAAAGGGCCTCCAGGGGCTTGAAAGTGTCACCTGGTGTGTAATTTGAACCCCGGGTGTTGGTGAAGCCAAAAACAATGTTGTTGGCCGCGTTACGGTGCAGTTGGGTGAGAAGCTGCTTGATGCAAAACCGGAACATGACAGTTAGGCGCGCCGCGTTGGGTTTCAGCAAGACCAAGATGCCATGAAGCTTGTCATAGCTGCGGAGAACCTTCAGAATGTCGGCCATGTTCCGGTTATCTTGCTCCAGGCCTCTCGTATCTCCGATTCCCGGGGTGTCGATGAGGCGGACTCGAGTCTTCCCGATGGTCACGCCGTACACCGCTGTGCACTGGGTCGCAGACTGGCCGCGCGCTCCATCGTTCTCGAACTGGCTCTTCCCCATTTTGATGTCCTTCTGAACGAATCGTCCCCGTGGGTTGTTGGGGTCTTTCAGCTGCGTGCTGAAGGAGCAGGGGATTAAGCACTCTAGTCTTCCAGCCTGGATTGCATCGTCGAGGGAGTCGTAGGTAAGGTAATTAACGAAGGCATTGATCCAAGTTGATTTACCGACACCGGTTTCACCAAGAATCAGGATGTTAAGGTCCTCAAAAGGTTCGAGATCCTTGAGTTGTCCGTGGAGCACCTGCTTGTCATAACTAGCCCATGTCGACCCATGGGTAGGATCATTACACTTGAAGGTCCAGCAGTCGAACGGGGTGGCCCCGCACTCGCAATACAGCTGTTCGTCAACGTAGCCGTACTCGACTGGCGACTGACAAGTGGCACAGATCCAATTGCAAGGCAGCGTTCCGTCGCAGGAAAAATGGGGACATGGAATCCGAACGGCGCGGCGTTGCAAAGGCTTGCTGGTGAGGGTGGCGTCAAGGGACCCAGCATTATATTGCATGACGCAGTTGACTGCTAAGACCTTCCTATGTTCGAGGAGGTCTTCGACGAACACTCGGTCATGCCGACGATGACAAATGTAAGGCTTCTCCAGAGACTGGCCAAGCGCATCGCAATCAACCGCCACAACCATCTTTGGACGGTGATCATTCTTGAGCAACTCGGAAAACAGGTTTCGAGTGTCGGCCCAAATTTCCGAGTTTCTCCGCACAGCGTCGGTGAAATAGAGAATGTAGACATCGTCATGACGGTTTTGCGCAAGCAAGGAATCTAACCGCCGGCCTTTGAACCCAACATATTGCGCCCCTTCGTCCAAGATTCCTTTCACAAAATCCATCTTGGCTGTGAATTTGGCCAGGGAGCGAATCTCGAATGATGGGGTCTCCCGGGCGTGGAAGTCACCAAGAAGTTTCCCAAGACGGTCAGGGTCGACGCCAGTGGAACGGAGCTCCCGTAGGACTCTTCCCAGTGCCACTCTCAGCGCCTTGTTGGCAGCGATGAATGCCTGGAGTTGCTTGCCGACGTCTCGGATGTGATTGGAAGGTACTGCGATTGGGTATCGTTGACACCTCGATACGTAGCGCTGAAGCGTTGCGCTCGCAGTTTGGGCGTCATCGAAATGCTGCATGAAGCGCTCCAAACTATCCGGGTTGGATGGGTGCACAGTGAGATTGGTCCGGATGTTCAAAAGTTGAAAATAACCCAAAAACGCCAAGGGTAGAAGGGTGTACTGGATTGGCGTGCCCTTGGCGTCGTTTGTGGTAGAGATCCTTTGGTGAAGACCTTTGATAAAGCCCCGAGATGTTTGAAAGCGCGCGTTGTCAGAAGCTGGCATGTTCTCTGAGAGCAGGTCGCCAAAAACTGACAGCTCGGACCAGCTAAAGCCGTATTGTTCCTCGGGGGTAACAGCTGGTTCTTCCAACCAGCCAGGAGTTGGACGACTCAGTATTTGGCCAAGTTGTTGGATAGCCAAGGCCTCTGGAGTCTTGTCACACCCCGTGTCCCCCGGGCTGTTGGGGCAGACAATGTAGTTGGCACCCCAGCGGACGCCGATTACAACATGTGTAGCGATGTCAGTCTGGAGGGTATCGAAAGCGAATTGTTCCCTGATTCCGGGAGTGGCAAGACTGAGCCTCTCATCAACGGTGGTGACATTGTACCTCAAGGATGTATGAGCACCGCGGATGGTGTTGGGCGAGGCGAGGTACCGAGCACAGCCGCCAACAGGAACGAGTCCGGCAAGGATACTGCCTCCAAGCTCGACGTCGACTTCGAGCTGTGCGCACCTCTCCTTGAAGGTGCGGACTTCGACAGTGCGGACATCTGTTGAGCGGCAAAGACGAATATCCACGGCATCCGCAGGAGGCCACTGCTTGAACAGCGAGCGCGGCTGAGAAACGAAAGTGTCGCTGCGGGCATCGTAGAGGGCTCCGAGTTGGGCGGCCTGGCCCAACGCTGGGCGAAACAGTTCGCCGCTAGCCATGACAGGGTGCGGTTTAAGGCAATCAAGAAGTGAGTCAAGTGAGTCGAAATTGATGATAGTGCTGGATGAGATAAGGGTGGTCGATAAAGATGAGAAGGAAGGAGCAGTTGAGAGCACTAAAAAGGGTACATAGGTACCTAAACGATGTGGCAAGGAGAGCAAAGGCAAGGGGTTTAGCAGCAATGTGAAAGAAACAGGATCTTGGTGGTGTGGCCGTTTCTTGCGGAGAAACCTTGGAAACTGGTTGCTTGGATAAGGTAAAATTGATTAGAACATGGACGGGACATTTCCGACGAAAAGCTGCTTCTCCATGCCCGTTTTTCCATTTTCTTCATCCGCCCGTTTGAGTTGTTTCCTATGGTATTGGACACACGTTGTTTGCGATGTCCAAGAATCCCCCCGCGGCTGTGGTAAGCCGCCCGCCATACCGCCGGGTTGATGCAGTTTGAGTTTATGAGGATTGGCGATGCCCTCGTGAGCAGCAAGATGGAATGGCATGGATTTATCGGGAAGGTGAGACCGAATTGAAGCATCCCAACCCGGATCTGTAAGTCGGATATTGGTCATGACGGGACGGGACGGGACGGATATGAAGCCAACAAAGCTTGCCGTAATTCTGTACCACTGCGGCATCCCTATTGCAACTGGACATCTCAGGAGCCTTTGACACGGTCAACCATACCCGACTGCTAGCAACTTTGCGAGAAATGGGCTTCCCGAGGTGGCTGGTCCTCTGGACGAGAGATTGGTTGACCGGTCGAGAGGCCACCCTTCTTTTCGACGGCAAGACGGCGGCGCCGACGGCAATTCGGGCAGGGGTCCCCCAAGGCTCACCCCTTTCCCCTGTCCTCTTCATCCTCTACATTTCCTCATTATACAAGCAGCTAAAAGACGAGCACCCTCACTTGGCTATAACGGGGTTTGCGGATGACACCAACCTTCTAGTATTTGGTCGAAACCTCCGAAGCCAATGTCCGGCAACTAGAGGCGGCGTGGGAAACGTGTATACGATGGGCGGACAGTCGGGGGATGAAGTTCGCCCCGGAAAAGAGCGAACTGATCCATTTCAACAAAGGGCGACGGCAGTGGACCGAACAAGTAAACCTTGCCAACCCAGGGGGAGGCACCAGCCCCGTTAAACCAGAAGGGTCTGCCAGGTTCCTGGGAGTCTGGTTGGACTGGAAACTCAACTGGAAGGCCCACCTGGTGGCGGTGGAGAAGAAGCTGAGGACCCAGAGCTATGCCCTGTCGAGGATCGTGGCAAAGACATGGGGGATGGGGCTAGCCAAAGCGCGAGAAGTGTACACAAAGTGCATCCGGTCGGCGCTGGCCTATGGCGCATCATCGTTTCACATCCCCACGGATGTGGGAGGCGAGCCGGCAAAGAAAGGCATCACTAAGGCCCTCGGGAAGGCCCAGAACAAGAGCTTGCGGATTGTGGCGGGAGCCTTTAAGTCTACCCCCATCCGTAACCTCGAGACAGAGACATGGGTACCACCATTGGACTTGTACCTAAACAAACGGCTTGCAGATTTCGAAAACCGACTCCAACGACCCGATCTGGACGACGGTCGAGGCGGCAAGAAGACGGCGGCGAGCGTTGTCCTCACCGCCTGCCGCAAGATACAGCAGAGACTTAGCTCGAGGAGGGGCAACAAGGGCCGACCGCGAACCTTGGGACCTCAAGGGCCTACGGTGGTGGAGAGAGCCGCGGAAACGGTCATGCGCTGGACGGGGGGAACCGTTGATACGAACAGGGTAGTAGAAGAGGCTTGGAAAGCGAGGTGGTTAAAGGAACGGGACGGCAGGGCAATCACCAGGCCGGCGGACGACTTTGACCATCAGCAGGAGACGCTATTCCGGAACGAAACCCTAAGGAGGCACGACGGTCTCAGCAAGGCGAAGAGCTCACTGCTGATTCAAATCCGGACGGGAGCAATAGGCTTACGGGACTTCTTGTTTACACGGGGAGTCCCGGAGGTTCTGACTCCTGCCTGCGAGTGTGGCGAGGGACGAGAGACTGCCGAACACCTGGTAGTGTGGTGTTTGGCCCCACCGTTGACTAGAAGATGGGAGAGAACTGGAATTCGGACACGACGGGACTTTTACTCTGTTCTACACGGCATCAATCCCACGACTGCACGGCTCGCGAGGAGAGTTCTCGACTGGCTGATGGACTCGGGGAAGCTGCCGATAGTACAACTTTAGCCAGGAGGCTGGAGCTGGAAGCGGCGGCCTGAAGCGCCCCCGTTCGGAGGCCAGGAGGCCTCCTCTCTTTGTATATGTGGGCTCACTAAAACGCATCGCTCCTTGATTGTTGGTATGGGTTTTTCACCCGGCCCGGGAGGGCACGGTTTCCCTGTACACTAAATAGCTGAGGGTCCGGCACGCCCTAGGGCATAGCGGAGTATGAATAATAATAATTCTGTACCACGAAGGTCAGACACATTCGATCAAACTTGCGAGGATTCAAGCCTTTCGTGTTGTCCCTTTTGGGCAACGAGAGCCGGGAGAGGCCCATTACAGGCTCCTTGCAGGCAGGCAGGCACCGTTAGCGCCACCATCCTCAAGGGGAGCGTGACTTGCTCTTTTGGATCCTTGAGCCCACTTCCAGACACGTCACGCCGATCAGCGGCAACTACCAAGGGTGCCTCGGTGCCTTCCCGTCAATTTTACCGCGTTGCTCATTCGATGTGGCGTTGGAAATAACAGAAACAAACGGTCGTGGCCCAGCTACCAATACAATCGAATGGTGGCCCCCTCTGCCTCAGTATCTGTCCGTCATGTCCTGCAGTTTCCCGCGTTTAATTGCGCCAGGCGATATGGAAACGCAGACATACTTGTTCTTTGCATTTCTGACCTGGGTTTAACGATGATCTCGTGATAACACTTTGAGATTGGTGTCCAGACTCCTGAGACACGGCCATTTGCTGGATGCAAATCCCCGGTCATCATCTTCGGGGTAACGAGGTGGCTCCAAGAGCAAAGGGGCTGTTATTCTTCTGATTGAGCCCGATACCCCTGTGTAGCACGATTGCCCGTGAAGAGTTATCGATGACATGATCTGGGCCATGGCACAATCAGAGCCGCAAACCGGCACCCTCGAACGTGACAAGGACCGCCTCGCTGTCTCTTACCGTCACCCTCTCATCCCGCCCAAGACGCTCCACGGCCACCTCACCAACAGCCTGCCCATTCCTGAACGACTGACCTGCCCAAGTAACCTTTGCAGCGTCCTTCTCATCCACAAACGGAGCCGTCATACGCTTGACCGTGGCCCCGTCGTGCTTCCCAATATCCAATGACAGCGTCGACGGAGCAGCTTCCTGCCCCGTGTAATACGGCTTCATGTTCAAAATAACTAACTTCGCCAACCTTTCCCCCCTCCCATCAAAAACCGCATACGCCGAAAACTCCTGCTCCCTCAACCCCGCCGGTGTCCCCAACGCCGCAATTCTCCCCCCCTCCGCCAACGCCTCCACCACCAACAACTGCGACACAAACACCGGCAACACCCTTGCCTCCCCGCGCTTCGTCGAATCCACCGGATACAGCAACGAATAACTACTAAACCCCGGGCTCCCATCATCCCCCGGCGTATTTAACTGCTGGTCACTCTGAAACGCCAGCGTCGCGCCCTGATGCAGGTGCACACTCGACGCATTCCTCACCGCGTACAACAGCTCCACATCGGCCGTCCACAGCGCCTGCGCAAAGGTATCCGACACGTTGGGCTTGCCGCTGCAGGCGATGGAGTTGAACTCGCCGACGACCCAGCGGGCGCCGGCGTCCATGGCGGCGCGCGCCGACGGGTAGAGCTCGTCGTCGGCGTAGCGGACCAGGTCCGTGTGGTTGAGGATGTTGGGAATGGTGGCGCGCGCGGCCCGCGCCGGGTCGCAGGTGGCGAAGGCGTACGAGTGGATCGAGTACAGCCCGACTTGGCCCGTCGAGTTGACGCCCGCCGGGATGAGGTCGCTGGGGCGGACTTTGAGCGGCGTGATGTCGGTGGTGGCGCTGGATGCCCACCATCGGCCGTGGCTGTCGTTGGAGATGGCTGCGTCAATCTGGGCGGTGAAGGCCTGCCATTGGGAGATGTAGGCTTTGGTGCTCGCGTTCCAGCGGCTGGTGGGGTAGTTGGTGGGCTCGTTCCCCAGCTCGTAGTATGTGATCTTGTCTCGTTGGAGTTGGTATGATGCTGCTGCAAGATCCCGTGCAATGCTGACCGAGTTGTTGCCGAAGTTGAGCGTAGACACAAAGGTCGTGCCTTCGGGGAAGTTATCCCACTGCTGGTAAAACGACGGGCCAACGGTCGTCCTGTATATCCCCCCTTTCTCGTTCTCTGTGCGCACAACGGATAGTTTCTGGCTGGGGTCGAACACCATGCTATCCATGGTAATGCCCCCTGCACGGATAATCGGTCTAGCCCCGCGCTCGTGTAGATGATTGAGGAGATTGAAAGTCAAGTCTCGGGGAGAATCTGGCTCGCCGAAGAATTCGGTCCAAAAGGCCGGCTCGAAAGAGTAGCTCACAAATTGAGGCACATGGGGGTGGGAGATAGCTGAAGCCGGTGTTCTGCTGAGCGAGTGAACTGACGCGCATTTTGCCCGACCTACTGTCGCAGCAGCTGCTAGCACACAGCTTGTTGAGAGAAGTAAAAGCTTCATTACGACAGTCTAGGACCCGGCGTGCACGAGACTGAGCGGAAGCAACCAGGTGTTTGGATCACCAGTTTATGTACCATGTACAGTAGGTACTTTGTGGTTGACCAAGGAAGAGTTGTAAACCCCACAGAGTCAGAAGTCAGCACGACGAATCCTTAGATGGATAATGTCGTATGAGATCCCCGCATGTAACCTCGTGAAGCGGTTCACGGCTAATACAACTCGACGGAAGATTTGTGGAATTTTCCCAAAGCGGGGTTTGGATGCTCGGTGTGAAGATACTACGAAGGTACCGGACGAGGTGGTATTGGTTGGGCGGCGTGGCTATATGG